TGCTGAGCTAAGGCATAAGAGAACCAAGGGCTGAGGGAGCTCTTTGTGGACCTCTGTGCTGATGTGGGGACAGATGTGTTTTTGAGAATGGGCTTTTGGTACTGACGCTTTCAGTGCCTTCCCTCCTCAGCAGTCTGCTCTACACTCTACTTCCTTTAAGAGAGAGGAGACATACAGCTTATCTTATTTTACAGAAGAATTACTTTTTAATTGGGCAGGACACATTGCAGGTTCTCTCTTAGCCTTGCAGTTCCTGAGGGAAATTGCATAGCAGCAGTGGTGTAGCTTACCAATCGCCAACCAGCAAACTGACCTCTTGTAAGACAGGAAGGAGGCCCAGCTAGGCCAACACCTGCCACAAGGCTGTACCTCCCACCTGCAGCCCCCGCATTTGTCTGCTTGGCACATGCCCACAGGAGGGGGACTTGGCTGTCACAAAGCATTGTCAGCCTGTTGTTTACCCAAGGTCAAGCAGAATGTGTGCCTAAAATGGGTACACCTCTAGTAATAGGCAGTTTTGGTTCCTGGGCACTGCAGCCCAGTTTGCCCAGGCAACAGAGAGAGCACTGATATTTTATGCTTTGTGCAAGTGATCTTGGTAGACTTGAAGCCTGACCCAGGTGGGCAAAGAAGTCAAGTGGTGGTGAGAAGGAGGAGGAAGCAGCCGAGCCCAGCAGGTCTCTGGGTTCCTGGAGTGGGCCGCCATTGAGTCCAGAGTCAGCCTGCAGCCCAACTTTGCACCTCCATTAGCTTTTCCTTCTCAAAGTCCCTAGCCCACCCGAATAGTGCTACCTTGAACAGTTTACTTCCTTTCCCCTTCCATTCTGTAAAAGGTATTCCCTTTCCTTCATTTTTTCTTCTGTGGAAACAATCAGAAGAACCTCATGGTGCTTATTTTTCTAACCCTGCTGTATGTATATCCTGGGGAGACCCTGCTTCTGGAAGCAAAACTCTCATGGTTGCCAGTAGCCTTTGGCATATGGTTTGTGGAGAAAATCCAGCTTCCCCAACAAGAGAAAGAGAAGGAATTAGAAGGGGAGAATGCTAAATACAGACCAGTGGGTTTAAGCCCTTTTCTTGATAAGAGCTGCAGCCCATGATGCTGGTGATTCAAAATGGCTTTGCCTCTTTCTTCTCCTCTTTGTCCAGGCATTACACTAGTTCAGCTCATCATGCTGTGTGCAGCTATAGTACCGTGATTTCAGATGTGCTGGCTATGAGATGGAGTAAGGGCATTGGGTAGGAAGTGATCATTATAGGCCATTCATGTCGACAACATTTAGACCTTGGTGTTTGCGTGCAAGCAAAAGCAGGAGCTAATTTGCAAGGCTGCCTTTGTGGAGCTGCCTGTTGATCAATGTTTGCCTGTGTTAATGTTTCAGTAAACTATTGATTTCTGCGACAGCTTTTGTTCCCTGAATTTATGTGCAGTGGGTCTCTGCAACACACTATGCATGTTTGATTAAAGTTCAATTGACTTCAGTCCCGGTGAGGTTGCGAGCTGCTTCAGTCCCTATTTGTAGAACCAAAGCTTTCTCCAACATGTTCTTTTGTTTGTGTTCAAGACCTAGCCACCCATGCAGTCGCCAATATGCTGTTTCTAATCCTCCCAGATCCGCTCCATTCCAGTGTTTAATCCCTTGGTAGCCATTACAGTGGTTGAGAGGCAGCTAATAAAACCTGGCCTGGATTTGTTGTTGTTTTTATCAACTTTATTGACAAATTGATACATGTGCCATACATAGTAGTACATACAATAAAAATGCACCCACTTTAAATGCACAGTTCAGTACATTTTGACAACTGTATACATCTCTGTAAATTACACCTCTGTCAATTTATAGACCCTTTCTATTACACAATTAAGTGTTTAGTTGGGTACTTTGAAAGAACTTTTCTGTCTCCCACTCTCCAGGCTCTAGCCAACCACTGATTTGCTTTTTTTTTTTTATGGTTCAGATTTGCTTTTTCTTGATGGAGTCATGTAATGTGCACCCTTTTTTTGTCTGACAGCTTTCACTTAACAGGGTGTTGTTGAGATTTGTCCCTGGTTTTGTATCAATGCTTGTTCCTTTTTTATTACCAAGTAGTACTCTGGTGAGTGGGTATGCCATAATTCAGTTATCTGTTCTCTCACTGATAGGCATGTGTCCTTTTTTTCCAATTTGGGGCTACTAAGAATAAAGTTTCTATGGTTGTTTGTGTAAAAGTCTGTGTGAGCATGTTTTTGTTTCCGTTAGGTAAAAAAATGAGGCGTGGAGTTGCTGGATCACATGGTAGGTGTTTGTTTAAGAGTTGATGTTCATTTAATTGTTAGGTTTCTTTCTCTTAGATCTTAATGTTGTTCCCACCTGCTCACTGTGAAGGGATAAGGATAGAAAATGCCAGCCAGAGCCTTTTACTCTCTGGCATCTGGCCAGTTTCCTAGCCTTGCTGTACTCTCCTTTTTAAACTCTGCAAGTTATGCTATCTTGAGACGCTTTCACAACATTCTTACTTGTGTAGTAGAGGTCATCGATTGGAACTGCGTGAGGCAGTACTGCGTTCAGATAAATGTCTGGGTGTCTGCTGCTTAGCTACCTCAAGGAAAATTCTTAGGTTTGGCAGCACTTTCTCACCTGATTTTTTTTTTTTTTCTTTTTTTGGCGGGACTGGGCAGACTTAACACTGGAAAGCAGGCACTCTCTCACACCTCCAGTCCATTTTGCTCTGATTATTTTGGAGATGGGGGTCTCGAGAACTGTTTGCCTGGGCTAGCCTCGATCCAGCATTCTCTTGTTCTCAGCCTCTTAAGTAGTTAGGATTACAGACTTGAGCCACTGGCACCTGACTTTTTTCTCTCATTTTTATTCCTTTCCCTCTTACAGCTTTTCTTTTATATACAATCCAGGCATCTGTAATTAGTTGGCCCCTAAAATGACTCAGGCTAAAGGAGGTGCTAGAAGGAACTACTTTGGGTTTTTTCTCATTCTTTCTGGCTTTGGAATTGGTCCAAGATTCATTGGACAAGTTACCCTTTTGAAAGGATGAAGCATGCCACAGTGGCAGTGTCTGAAGGGTTGCTGTTCCATTTTTTTCTCATAGGAAAATCTGAGCCAAGTCAGTTTTCTGTTAGCAGAGGTCTTTTAATACCCTAGTAGGTTTATGAGTCTGGCTCCTCCATCACCACCAAAGAATTGGTATATATAAATGCATTTCTAGGTTAGGAAGGTTGGAAGTAAAGGGGCAGGCACTAGAGAGTCACAGATCATGTGACCTTCTGGGCTCAGGGTGTTCCTGTCACCACTGGGGCAGCTGGAGGTGCCATTTGTACAATAGCATACAGTAAAGAAGACAGAAATCCCAAGGACAGTTTCCCCTTACTGTTCTGTTCCATTATCTAGAACATAGGGGCAAGGGTCATGTGTGTACACATGAAGGCATGAGTGTGCTTGTCCTCAGCAGCTGGCTTCTCAGCTAGTGCTTCATCTGTTATGTATTGGCAGTCACTAGCATTTTAATAAGTATTAAGTGCTTGGGGAGGTTGAAACACATCCACAGCGCCAGGTAATACAGGGACCAGTCTGTTCTTGCTTCACATCTAGCTTCTGGTGACAGCTGTGGTTTCACTTGGTAGAAAAATGTGTACTCTTGAAATCCAGCTCTGGATGGGAAATAACACGTGCGTGTGCATTAGCTACCTTGCAAAAGCCATTTCCCCATCTAAAATCTGCCCACTACTCCTATCATCATCTTCCAAAGCCAATGCCCTCAGTGTTAGGATGAAACCTGGTTGGATTGAGTGTTTAGTCCATTGCAAGAGTTTGTACATGGTCTCTACTCTTTGCTTTCTCTACTTAGTCATCCCAACACTCATCTTTCCAGATAGAGCTTAGCGCATTGGAGTACAGAAGCTTGGCCTTCTCGTTTTCTGTGGCACCCTGCTAATGAGACTGGGCACTGGGGAAGCACAGTGTTGCTCTGGTCCACGTTCTCACCTTCAAGGTAACTTCCCAGTAGCAGGAATTCTGCTAAGTTAACTGATCTTCTCCCATGTCCACTTAATGAAAGAACAGTGTGATGTTGGCTCAGTGTCATCGTTCTTACTGTTTTTGTTGGGATATTTGTTTTAAGAAGTTGGTCTTACTCATAGCCAGGCTAGGTACACATGTCATTTGTGTGTATGTGAGAAAGGTGCCTGCAGAGGCCCTGAGAGGTGGGACTGCTACAGCACCCTGTTTTTTAAAAGTTGCATTTGCTGTATTTTCAAAATGTCTTGCACTAGACCATAGACAAAATAGCTTTTTTTTTGGCCAGGAAGTCTGACCTTGTGAGAGTGATGCCTTGTCTGTATCAGTCCCGCTGTGTTGGTCCTTCTGTCTTCCTTTGTCTTCAGAACCTTCTGCCAGTTTAGGCAGGTATGGGCAGTTCAGATGGGGCAACAGAGGTTGATGAGAAGTTCTCTTGGGTGTGGTGTCTCCATCTATCCCGACCCAGCTCTTGGTCTGCATTCCTACCATCTCAGCTGTGTTAGTTGGTTGGTTCTTCAGAAATATTCTAACCAGCCAAGCATTTCCTCACATAACCTGTGTGATTTCACTGAAATTTTATGCAAAAGACATTCTTGCCGGGCGTGGTAGCGCGTGCGCCTGTAGTCCTAGCTACTCGGGAGGCTGAGGCAGGAGGATCACTTGAGTCCAGGAGTTCTGGGCTGCAGTATGCTATGCGATCGGGTGTCCGCACTAAGTTCAGCATCAATATGGTGATGTCCCGTGAGCGGGGGACCACCAGGTTGCCTAAGGAGGGGTGAAGCAGCCCAGGTCGGAAACGGAGCAGGTCAAAACTCCTGTGCTGATCAGCAGTGGGATCGTGCCTGTGAATAGCCACTGCACTCCAGCTTGGGCAACACAGTGAGACCCCATCTCTTACTTTAAAAAAAAAAAAAAAATTCTCTATATTCATACACCCAAACACATGTTTGCACACTCATGCTCATACACACTCATGTACACACAATGAGAGCTCCCTAAGGGCAGGAACCTTTTCTTTTTGTCTGTTGTTCATGATGTGCCTCAGGACTTAGAACACTGGTGGTATCTGGCACCCTGGACACCCAACAAATAGCAAACAAGCTTTTGTTTTAGGTGTCTAGTAGTCATACTTTGCTGGACTGAAGGAGCTGGGCCCCATTTGTGCAGCCCTCGGGCTGTGCAGTCAGAGCACACCCAGTCCTCCTGACTCCAGGATAGTTTTCTATCCAGCTTTCTGCCCAGGGCAGAGGGGTGGGTATGGTGATGTCACATCTGCATAACATCCTCACAGCTGCACCTTCTGTCTTGCAGGGGGAGCTGATCACTTTCTATTACTACTGGAAGAAGACTCCTGAAGCAGCCAGCTCCCGAGCCCATCGTCGGCACCGTAGGCAAGCCGTGTTCAGGAGGATTAAGACTCGCACTGCATCCACCCCTGTCAACACGCCTTCCAGACCCCCCTCTAGTGAATTTTGTAAGTGGGGGGCATCTTGGCACCACAGTGGGTGGTGGGAAACTATTCACATGCAGCTACACATGTATCTAGCTCTGGGTCTACAGGAACTTGTGACCCAGGCAGTTGTGTGAGGCACGTATGTGTCTGCACACATTTGTGTGTGAAGCCTGACCTGAGTGTAGCACTGACCATGGGTCGGGGGGTGTTCAGTAGGGAGAATTTTAAAAACTTAACCTGTGCAATTAATGACTCAACATTGTTTTAAGTTTTTCAAAATGTGAGCTTACACTTGGCCTGAGGTATTTGGGACCTTGGCCTAGGAGATTTTCTGTTTAGTGTGGATGGTGCACTGTGTGAGCTCTCATGGCACATGGGTTTTGGTGGTAAATACCTTCTTGTTCTTCCTGCTTTACCAAGATCCCCTGGGCATACCTCCCCACACCCCCCACCCCGGGTGTTCGGGCAAGCTAAGGGCTGAAAATCATCTAGTAGGAATGGCATGGATGCATAGACCTACAGAATCCTTTAGGCATTGTGGGTGTGCTGTTCCCAGCTCACATGTGTCAGTGTGAGCACCAGTGCTGGCCACCTTCAAGATTTACCACCAAACTAGTAGGTTGGGCCCTTGAGTGCCGCCTGTCACACACAAGCCTTTTGGCTCTGGTGACTGATCCTGAGGAATTGAAAATGATCCTTCCTGAGTGTTGCCCACCTTGACTGTGGAGCTACTCTGCTGGTGGCCCCAGCCTGGCCCAGCATGATGGTTGCCTCCCATCCCTGCTTGTGCCTACTTTGTACAGTGGACCTGAGTTCAGCCAGCGAGGATGACTTTGACAGTGAAGACAGCGAGCAGGAGCTGAAGGGGTACGCCTGCCGTCATTGCTTCACCACTAGTAAGTGGCTTCATTTTGTCCCCCAGGGCAGGGGACAAAGGACCATTTATGGGACCAGGCCAAGCTTTAGCACTTCAGGTTTGGAAGGTTTCATGCATCAAATTAGAAACTTACCAGGAGCAGTGATTGATTTAACATTTGCATTGTGTTTGAGAAACTTGAACATCTTCTTTATTTGACTTCACTCCCTGTTTCGTAGTCAGTATGGAGAACTGTACTGATTGGTGGTTGGAGGGACTTATTAAGGTCCAGGGGAGCCTATGATTCCTGGGAACTTGGTGTCCTGTCCTCCTGGGTGCCTGAGAAATGGACATCTGTCCAGTCCCTGTGCTACATGACTGGCACTAGGGTTAGGTAGAACCACAGAAGGGCCCCTTTGCAAGACATCCCTTGGTGAGAAGACATGGTCTCCAAGACTGGCACTATCCCGCCCCTTCCCCTCACACAGCTTCCAAAGACTGGCACCACGGGGGCAGGGAGAACATCCTACTCTGCACTGACTGCCGCATCCACTTCAAGAAGTACGGGGAGCTACCGCCCATTGAGAAGCCTGTGGACCCCCCACCGTTCATGTTCAAGCCTGTCAAGGAGGAGGACGATGGGCTCAGTGGGAAACATAGCATGAGGACACGGCGGAGTCGGGGCTCGGTGAGCAAGTGTCCAGTGAGCAGTGGGCTTAGGCCCGCTGGAGGATGTTTAGGTAGAGACATAGACCCTTAGAGGCAATGTTTTGCAAAGACAGCAGCTTTGCCCGTGGGGTTGGTAAGAGCACCCTGTTCTCTTCCTAAGAAGAGGGGTCTGTGGGGCACATCCTGAATCTAGTGTTTTTGTTTTATTTCGGGGTTTCTTTGGGCAGTGCTAGGGTTTTAACTCAGCGAGTCATGCTTGCCAGGCAAGCATTCTACCACTTGAGCCACTTTACCAACCCTTTTTTGTGTTGGGTATTTTTGAGATGGAGTCTGACGAACTGTCTGCCTGGGCTGGCCTCAAACTGTGATCCTCCTGATCTCTGCCTCTGGAGTAGCTAAGATTACAGGTGTGGGCCACCAGCGCCCAGCTCTGAGTTTAGTTTTACAGAGAGCCTGTTGGTCTTGATTTGTGGCCATGTTCCAGCTCTCCAAGTCTCTTAAAACTTCTCTGGCTTGTGGACCAGTCTGTGGCACTGGCTTATCTCCGCTATTTTAAACTTTTGTTCAAACATCTGATTCAGTTTTAGAAACTTGTGATACATGTTTCTCCTCTCTGCATAGGCTCTTCATAAACTTTTTGAATGCTTTCCTGGGTTGGAAATGTGTCAGGGACCATGGGAGAGGGTCTTTAAGGCTTGGGGTTGAGGATATAGAGGGCCCCTTCCCTCAGCTCTGGCTTCCCCACGGTTCCTTCTGGCAGGTGAGTAGGACACTCTCCCCAACCCTGCCCTTTCTGTCATGGTGAGGCTGTCTCTGCTTATTGGGAGGGGAACCTGTGAGCCAGCCATGACCATTACATGTGATCTGCGTCTCATGGCTCTGCAGAAGCATGCTGAGTGCTTAGCAATTGCAGTAGCTGAGCTTCATCACCTTGGGTGGCTTCCTGCCCTGAGTATCTCAGTAAGTGGTGCTGTGTGGTTGGGTTGGGATAGTGTACACTTCCATGGGACAAACAGGTTAAAGCACTTAAAAGATGACTGTGTGTCACAGTAGCCTGCCTGCTGACTTCTTTTGTGCCTCATTTCCAACACAGATGGTTCAGGACATTCCTGGAGATGTCCTGGGGTTTAAGAATTACTCTTTTCAACTTGCCTTTGGGCTCACGTGGGCTCCACTGGGGCCTGAGGATTTAACCTTACCATCCTTTGGTTGGGTGTTGGGTGTTGCAGATGTCTACACTACGCAGTGGTCGCAAGAAGCAGCCTGCCAGCCCTGATGGTCGCACCTCACCCATCAATGAAGACATCCGCTCCAGTGGTCGGAACTCCCCCAGTGCTGCCAGCACCTCCAGCAATGACAGTAAAGCAGAGACAGTGAAGAAGTCAGCCAAGGTCAGGGGCTGAGGGGGCCTGGGAGCTGCTCGTCCTCTCCCTTTCTGCCTCCCTTCCACTGAAATTGGGCTGCTGGAGCTGGCATTCAGCTGTCTTAGAGCTGTAGCTCATTTGTAGGGACTCTATGGGTACTAGTGTTGCCCCAGCCTAGGAGCCAGCTGCAGGTGGAGGCCTAGGGCCTAGAAAAAAAGGGATTCCCACTGAGGTTCCAGCATCTGTCTTTGGGGGAACCTCTGCCTCAAGCTCACCAAAGTCTTAGAGGCAGAGTGTGGAGAATGATTGAAAAGGCTCCCTCCCTGCCCCTAGAGCCAAGGGTTCTGGCCCTCATTGGCCCCTCCCAGTGCTTTAGACATGCAGCTCAGAATGAGGGAGAAAATGAGGCCTGGGATTATGTCCCATCAGCCTCATTGCTCCTCATGGACCTTCCACTGCAGAAAGTGAAGGAGGAAGCCTCGTCCCCTCTTAAGAGCACCAAGCGCCAGCGGGAGAAAGTGGCCTCTGATACAGAGGAGGCTGATAGGATCAGCTCCAAGAAGACGAAAACCCAGGTGAGGCAACTCAAGTTGGCCACTGCTGCTCCTTAAAGCCCCAGCCATGGTCTTCAAGGAGAGGCATTTCCTTGGCTCCCAGGGAGATGGCTAGAGTGGCCTGGAGCCCAGAGGCCTAGTTCTGTGCTTCTTGTGCATAGCACAGACATTTGTCATTTGCCATGCTTGAGCAGGTGGAGTGGAGCTGTGCTCTCAGGGCTTCCATCCTCCCTCTTCTGGCTCTAGGAGATCAGTCGGCCCAATTCACCATCTGAAGGCGAAGGAGAAAGTTCGGATAGTCGCAGTGTCAATGACGAGGGTAGCAGTGACCCCAAAGACATCGACCAGGACAATCGCAGCACGTCCCCCAGCATCCCCAGCCCTCAGGACAATGAGAGCGACTCGGACTCATCAGCCCAGCAGCAGATGCTGCAGGCCCAGCCCCCAGCCTTGCAGGCTCCCAGTGGGGCTGCCTCAGTTCCCTCTGCAGTCCCTTCAGGAGCACCTCAGCTCCCCACCTCAGGCCCCACGCCCTCTGCCCCTGTAGTCCCTCCCCAGGGGTCCCCTGCAGCCTCACAACCCACTAGCCAGCCACAGGCTTCTGTGGCACCTGCTGCTCACACCCATATCCAGCAGGCACCTACCCTGCACCCACCACGGCTGCCCTCCCCTCATCCTCCACTGCAGACCTTGACAGGGCCAGCTGGCCAGACCTCAGCACCTCCTCACACCCAGCCCCCATTGCACAGCCAGGCCACATCTGGCCCTCACAGCCTGCAGACTGGGCCCCTGATGCCGCACCCAGGCCCCCCTCAGCCCTTTGGCCTACCTCCCCAGGCCTCCCCAGGCCAGGCCCCTCTGGGGACCTCCCCAGCAGCAACTCACCCTCACACAGCCCTGCAACTCCCAGCCTCTCAGACAGCATTGCAGCCCCAGCAGCCCCCAAGGGAACAGCCCCTGCCACCTGCGCCCTTGGCTATGCCACATATCAAACCCCCACCCACCACCCCCATCCCCCAGCTTCCTACGCCACAGGCTCACAAGCACCCACCTCACCTCTCAGGGCCCTCGCCCTTCTCCATAAATGCCAACCTGCCACCCCCACCAGCCTTGAAGCCCCTCAGCTCGCTGTCTACACACCACCCACCCTCTGCACACCCCCCGCCCCTGCAGCTTATGCCCCAGAGCCAGCCCTTGCCCTCCTCCCCTGCCCAGCCCCCTGGGCTAACCCAGAGCCAGAACCTGCCCCCTTCTGCCACCTCACACCCACCTTCCAGCCTCCACCAGGTGCCCTCTCAGCCCCCATTTTCTCAGCACCCCTTTGTTCCTGGAGGCCCTCCTCCCATCACCCCTCCTTCCTGCCCCTCCACCTCCACCCCACCTGCGGGACCCAGCAACTCAACCCAGCCACCCTGCTCTGCTGCTGTTCCTTCAGGAACCAGTGTCCCTGGGGGTGCATCTTGCCCGCTCCCCACAGTCCAAATTAAGGAGGAGGCTCTGGATGATGCTGAAGAGCCTGAGAGCCCTCCTCCACCCCCCAGGAGCCCATCCCCTGAGCCCACAGTGGTGGACACCCCCAGCCATGCCAGCCAGTCTGCCAGGTATTGGTTCCTGGGCAGGCCCAGGTGGGAGTAGGGTAGGGACAATTTGTGGGAGGCAATTTGGGTGAACCCTCAGCAGGAGCCCCACGAGCTATGGCATTCCTAGGTTCTACAAACACCTGGACCGGGGTTACAACTCGTGTGCACGGACAGACCTGTACTTCATGCCTCTGGCCGGATCCAAACTAGCGAAGAAGAGGGAGGAGGCCATTGAGAAGGCCAAACGGGAGGCTGAGCAGAAAGCCCGAGAGGAAAGGGAGCGGGAGAAAGAGAAGGAGAAGGAGCGAGAACGCGAGCGTGAGCGGGAACGAGAAGCAGAACGTGCAGCTGTGAGTCCTAGGCGGTAGTGGTTCAGGGAGGGCAGTGTCCAGCAGCCCTGCTGTGGTGTGGCCTGGCACATGTTTATGTAGCCAGAAGGTTCTGTGCTCTTTGTACCCATCCTTGGGCTTTTCTAAGGCTGTGACACTATCATAGAGTTACTAGACTCATTGTCTAACGAGGGCAGACCTCATGGCAGTGACTTGCTGCTTGCCTGCCCAGGGCTTTGCAGGAAAGGCCCCGTTCTTCCCCACAGCTTGGAGGCCTGTGCTTCCTCTATAATCTGAGGAGATAGGAGTGGATGACATGAAGAGAGAAGCAGTCAGGGAAGGGAGGTTCTGCCAACAGCTCTGTTCTTTGTCCCTCTCATGGGCTAGGTCACCTGGCACCAGCTGTGCCTGGAGGGGGAAGAGAAGCCAACTACAGAAGTGGCATTTGGGGCCTTGTGATGGCCTTCTGGGCTCCCTCGTACACTCCCACTCTTGCCTTGTCTTACTCATAGGCATGCACTGCCACTGTCTCACAGGTATACGTATCCACCTGGGCCAGCAGGGGTACTGCAGGCACAAATAAGGCTGTCACAGCAGGGTCTGGACTGCATCCCAGTACCCTACCATGGCTGGGCACCCAGTCTCCACATTGGGGTGGAGGTACTAAGTTGGCCTGATAGAATATAGGATGGGACCCCCAGGCAGCTTCGTATCCACCCCCATGCCTCTTTCTTTCAGCAGAAGGCATCTAGCTCAGCACATGAAGGACGCCTTAGTGACCCCCAGCTCAGTGGTCCTGGCCATATGCGGCCCTCCTTTGAGCCACCACCAACTACAATTGCCGCTGTTCCCCCGTATATTGGGCCTGATACACCTGCCCTCCGGACATTGAGCGAGTATGCTCGGCCTCATGTCATGTCACCCACCAACCGCAACCACCCTTTCTACATGCCCCTCAACCCCACCGATCCCCTGCTGGCCTACCACATGCCTGGCCTCTACAATGTTGACCCCACCATCCGGGAGCGGGAGCTCCGGGAGCGAGAGATCCGGGAGCGCGAGATCCGGGAACGTGAATTGCGAGAGAGGATGAAGCCAGGCTTCGAGGTGAAGCCCCCTGAGCTTGACCCCCTGCACCCAGCCACCAACCCCATGGAGCATTTTGCCCGGCACAGCGCCCTCACCATCCCCCCTGCAGCTGGCCCCCACCCATTCGCCTCTTTCCACCCGGGCCTGAATCCCTTGGAACGGGAGAGACTGGCCCTGGCAGGCCCTCAGCTGCGGCCTGAGATGAGCTACCCGGACAGACTGGCGGCTGAGCGCATCCACGCTGAGCGCATGGCGTCCCTGACCAGTGACCCTCTGGCACGACTGCAGATGTTCAATGTGACTCCACACCATCACCAGCACTCCCACATCCACTCCCACCTCCACCTCCACCAGCAGGACCCCCTCCATCAAGGTGGGTGCCCTGCCAGGGTGGAGTAGGGCAGGGAGGGTAGCATCCACTTGAGGTCAAGTTTCTCTTCATCCCAGAAATCCCTGGGCTCTCCTGAGCTGCAAGTCCTAGGAGGCTGCAGCCTCTGGGGAAAACTTGGGCTCCTGCCCCTGTGGGATAGAGGGCAGTGCTTTGTGCTCCCTGGATAGGTGAGGGACAGCAGAGAGGGTCTTGTGTGTGTCCTTGTGAGCTCAGGGAGTTTCAGGTTGCAGGCATTGGGTTGCCCAAAGAAGCTGGGTTGTGATATAGTGGGAACTTAAAAAAAAAACAGTCTTCTGTTCCCCACAGGGGACAATACAGGGTTTCTGGCTTTGACTGAGTTCTCCAAGCTGACTCTCCTGCCCAGGGCTGCCCAGTCCTGTCCACTTAGGATGGGAGTTCCTGCAGGTCTGCTCACTGGCTGGCCTGGGGAAAGGGCAGTCCAGGGCACAGCTGGGTTCTGCTCCCTTGCAGCCTAACTAGGTGGGGTAGGAAGAGGCTGGCTATACTCAGAAGGTAGCAGGTGTGTAAGTAGTCCGTGTTAGAGAAGAAGAGAGAAGTCCAGGAGAAGGATGGACAGAGCTGGGGTTAGTGTTGCAGTCTCAGTGCTATCAGAGGAAAGATCTGAAGGAGGTGAAAGGGTGAACCGGGATGAGCAGTAAAGAGATGGAAAAAGAACTCCTGCAGCAGGCATGAGGGAGTGTTCAGGCTCCCCAAGAGCCCAAGACAAGAGGGGCACCCTTGGCAGGATGTGGCACAGCAGGTGGGACCACTGTGAAGGGAAAGGAAAAGATGCTCATTTGCTGTTGAGCTGAGCTGAGCTGAGACCTCATCCTGCAGCTGGAACAAGGAGCACTGGCTGGAACAAGACCATCAGTCTTCAGGCCCAGAGAGGCACAGGGCAAGCCCAGGATAAGAGAGGCTCTGCTGCAGATCTTGCATCCTTGCTGTAGGGGGCTTGGAAGTGGTGGGAGGAAATTGTGATTAATGGTGGACTCTTCACCCCTTCCTGTCACCTCTCAAGAAGGTGGTGAGCGGCCTCTTTAGGTCAGGATCACGTGCAGCCTGTTCATGCTGCCAGCCTTGGTGACTGGGAGCCAGTTTGGATCATTTAGTGAGGAGGGAACAGCACCAGAGCCAGGTACCCACCTGCATCTGGATTTGTACTGTTTTGTTGTTGTTGTTGTTTTTAGGTTCAGCAGGCCCAGTTCACCCTCTGGTTGACCCCCTGACTGCTGGCCCTCACCTGGCTCGCTTCCCCTACCCTCCTGGCACCCTCCCCAACCCTCTACTTGGACAGCCCCCCCATGAGCACGAGATGCTGCGTCATCCAGTTTTTGGTAAGAATTTACCTGAGGAGTGTGGGACTTCTGTGTGCCAGTTGGGCTGCAGTCTGGTTACCTGTCCACCTTCACTCATTCTTTATATTGAACAAATGTGAATTTGCACTGCTGTGTGCAGGGGATCCTTGTGGGGACAAGCAAAACTCTTGCTCTGGGAGGGTTTGAGGTTAAGAAGGTCATAAATACAGAACAAAACAACCTTGCAGGAATCGGACCACCAGGGCTGTGCGAGAATAGCCGAGGATACTAATTTAGGCCAGAGTCTGGGGAAAAGAAGGGACTAGGCAGGATCTGGGTAGGGGTGCCAGGAGGCATTAGTGTGGGGCTTCTCTTTTCCTGGGAACTCTGCTTTGAGTCACTGAACAGCCTCTTACCCCACTCCTTGTAGAGGTCAGGAAGGGCTGGCTGTACTGTTCTTAGTCAGCCATTTGAGCTCCTTATCCTAGCTACTCCTTTGACTTGTTTCTGTAGCAAAGCCTATTTTGTGCTTGGCAGGCACCCCCTACCCCCGAGACCTGCCTGGGGCCATCCCACCCCCTATGTCAGCAGCCCACCAGCTGCAGGCCATGCATGCCCAATCGGCCGAGCTGCAGAGACTGGCCATGGAGCAGCAGTGGCTACACGGACACCCCCACATGCATGGTGGTCACCTACCAAGTCAGGAAGATTACTACAGGTAAGGTGGAGAGGGAGGGCAGGGGAGGCTGTGCCTGAGCCTAGGCTCACCACACAGTTGTGTGTGTGGTATCCTCCCCTCCACACACACCCCCTTACCATCACCAGAATCAGCCCCCCTAGTTCTAAGCCCTCAAGAGGATGCCCATGATGGGAGTGGGTAGGCAGGCTGAGCTTGGCTGTGTGGGAGGCCACTGGGGTGGGGGGGGTGGGCTTGTCTCAGTTGAGTCCTCAGTGTGAGTGGACTCTGAAGATACCTACCTGCCTGGAGCCTACCCAAGCCTGATACCCAATCTTCTTTCTTTTTTCCTCATTTCTAGTCGACTGAAGAAAGAAGGTGACAAGCAGTTATAAGTTATTTATTTGTTAATGCTGGCTGTGGAAACCCCAGTTCTTGGGGGCAGAGACAGGACTTTTTACATACACTAGTAGCTGCAAATGCAAAAAGGAATATCTTCTAAAGATTTCTTTATATATTTAAAAACCCCACAACTAAAAATGTATCTGAATAATAGTGTTCGTTTGTCGAGAGGATTTCCTGAGACTGGTTTGGCTCTCCCTGCATGACAGTCCCCCAGAAACTTAGTGAGTCCTGGACTGGACCGAACACCCAGAAAACTTCCCCTGCAATCTTGGGGTTTGGCTTTAGCTTTTTTTTCCCCTTGATTTCTCACTAGGTGCTAGAATCGGCTCATACCCTTCACTGTGCGTGCAGACACACTTGAGTCATGGGTTCAAGAACCCATGAGGTTTGCAGATAGGCGGCATATGAGTTTGGAATCCGAGAGCTATAATTTTTAAAAGATCTTTTATTTTAATACATTGTAGGAAATCTTCATAATTTGAGAAAGTTCTGCAGCATGGCTTTTTACATCTGTAAATAAGTAATTTTAGAACAGCCTTTTTTTCCTTCCACAAACGACTATTCTGATCTATTTTTTTCCAGCCATGTCACTAATTGTGAATTCCTACCAGCTATTGTCAGAATACAGAGTTGATTTTTTAATAAAAAGTTATATATAATTATCCCTTTAATTAAAGGGAGCACATGGGCGTTAACTAATTGCAAATGGGCAGGAGCATGGGACTAGGTTTGATCACAGCAGCAAGCATCCAGGGGTTTGCAGGACAATGTTACAGGCTCTTTATTTTGCTGCTTTGATTTCGCTTCTGTCTGTTCTTCACATGTGCTTTGCAGCCACAGACGTGTTGGAGCGAGCCTCCTTCATTATGCACAGGAGTTCAGTGTTGAGTTTCTGTTCCCACTGTCACTGTTGTGCTGTTTCTGTGGGATAGAAAGCACATGTTTATGTGTGTCTGATGGTAGATTCCTTTAGAGTTGAATGCACACACATCTATTCAAATCTGGATAGATTGCCTTTTTTAATACTCTGAAAATTTCATAAACAGTCTAGAGAATTTTAAGAAAATTCCATATAGACAGCTCAGCACGTGACAGACCCAGGATATATCTTGCCAAAGGAATCTGTTAGATATCTGCCCTTTCACTTGGATTTTGTGGTAAGGACCAAGCCAAGTCATCCTTACCACAGACTGATGCTGCTTCAGAGTGAGGACACCCTAGGGTTAGGTCAGCATGCTTGTGGATATGGCCGGTTCATTGTGACCCACATCTGAGTGGGAAACCTCTCCTGGAGGTAGGAGAGTCAGAAAGCAGGTGCCCCAGGAAGCCCCACTCTGTAGGAGGTCAGGCCCTTCAGGGGCAGAGCCTGCTCCTCCGTATTGGGCTTTCTTTGGAGGCAAGGGTGCACCTGTTGACCAAGCCTTCTGCCAGGACAGAATCTTCTTCCCATCCTCCTCTCTGACTCTTGAGGGCCAGTTCTGCTGTTGTATGTGGTGGTCACATCTGGGAATTACCAGATAATCAGGGACCACCCTGTGGGTCAGTGGATTAAGACATGTGTCCAGGCCCCAGGCCCCACAGGGCAGAAGAGGCTTGATAGCTGACCTAGTGTCCATTCAGCTTCAGGCTCTGGACTCAGGCCTTTAACAAGCCTACTCCTCGCTCCACGAACACGATTGGCTTTGCTTGGGACAGATTGGATCATTTTGTCTGTTGAAAATGTTTCTAGTTTTGTTTTTGTTTTCTTTATTTTCTCATTCCATTTCTGCCTTAACTTTAGTTCCTTAGGAAAGGCAAGCTCAAATTCTTTACCAGCAAACTGCTGGCCGCTTTGGCATGGAGGCTGTTGTTTCCTTCTAGGGGTGGCAGTGTACCATCCAGGTGCTGTGCCTTCAGCTTCTCTGGCTCTGAGGAAGCCTCTTTTCACTGGGCACTGTATGAGCAGGCACTTCTTGCCCCATGCCACCACCTATCCCTCCTTTTTTCCTCTCTCTCCCCCTCCCTCCCGTCCCCTCCCCTCCTCTCCCTTCCCTTTCCTTCTCCTTCTCCTCCCACCCCCTTCCTCCCTCCTTCCCCCCCTTAAACTGGATCTACCATTTGGTTAAACCTTTATCTTTATTACCCACTTTTCCAAAGAGAAAGAGTGAAGTACTTTGAAGTCTGTACTTGAAATTTGTCTGAAGGTGTTTCTTTGTTACGTTTTTGGTTTCTTCCCATATCCCAAGGTGAAGCACTGAGATTCTTCCCTTTAAATAAACCCATAACCTGAACCCCTCACCTGATCAACTACAGTGTGTTAGGAGGCCCCAGACCTTGGTGATGTCTTTGAAGCCCAGCCCAACAGCTTGGTTTCCCTTTGGATTTTCCTTCCTTTCATTTGAAGTTTCATTTTGCTTTCTGTGTTTTGTACGTACCTTGTTCAGTGTTGTCAAGGTTGAGCTTCATGTCTCACTGCAGCAGAAGCAAAGCAGAGTGTACATTCTGATTTGCTAGGTTTCTATATATCTTGAAGCTAAGTGTATATATGAGTAGTTTCCATGAGATAACACAGTGTAAACAGAGTAGACACCCAGAAATCGTGACTTCTGTGTTCTCTCCATTTGAGTATTTTGTAATTTTTTTGAGATATTTGTGAACATAAATAAAACCAAGCTACACTACAACACTGGGTGTGGACTGGCTCAGTGTCTCATTCCTGGAGAGAGGGTGGGTCCTGATTTAAGTCCTCCAGGGTAGGGAAGGGCCAAGGGCAGACTGCTGTTACCGCCGCTGGGGACCCAAAGTGGCTTCCAGAAAGACACGTCTCCGCTATCCGCAAGGAAGGGTTTCTTTAGTGAGTCCTCTTGCTCCTGGAGACCGCTTCCCAGGCAGGAAAATTGGGACCAAGATTACCACCCCCACCAGCTGCCACTGCTCACCCCCACACCTCTCATTTGTGGACATCCACTGGAACGTACAAATACATGGCTGTTTTCCTATTTAGGGGACAGTGGCTTCCTGCTCCTGCCTGTTCACCTGCCTTGTCTCCTCACTACGCCAGTCTCAGGTGCCATACAGGTTAAAGATGCATCCTAATGTTCCATGGAAGTCTACTCAGGAAAGGTGCCATGGGTGACCTGCAAGGTGTGGTTATGGCCACAAGGGGGCAGTAGTTGCAGTGGATTCCTGCTTTGGTTTCAGAGACTGTCCAGGGCATTTTCCTGAAACTTCTAATACGTCCCTGGAAATTTATACACTTGCCTTTTCATCTGGGACATGGCCAAGAGTTCTTTGTTTTGAGAGACAGGAAAGAGTTTCCAGAGAGCTGGCTATTAGTGAACTGCCCTTCAGTCAGGCAGGGGCTGCCTACTCAGGGCATGAGAAGGCAATGCCAGATAGGCCGTCAAGGTCATTTGTGTGTCCTCAGGTAGCTTGGGTGACCAGGGTTTAGGGATAGGCCTGCAAGCCAGCCAGGGAGGCCCAGGCTGCTGACATCTGGGCCTTGCATGAAAAAGAGGGATTGGGACAGCTAGGGGTGCAGAGCCAGATGGTGAGTGGCTGGAATCCAGGTGGCCTCTTGCCCCATCTCTTGCCCTGCTGCACTGTATGAAGTTCTTAGTTCATAGGCTGGTTAGACAGTTAAGACTTAAGTGTCTGAGTGAGTGCACGGGTTATGCTGCAGAAAAGGCCTTCATCAAGAACTGATACACTATCACAGAAACTGGGGGCTTACAGAGACGCTCAAGTGATAGAGGGCCTACCTAGCAAGTGTGAAGCCCTGAGTTCAAATCCCAGTCCCACCAAAGGAAAGAAAAGAATCTATCATGGAAATTGGTACAGCCACTATGGAAAACAGTATGGTGGTTCCTGTACACACTAAGAATAGAACTGTCACATGACCAGCAGCCCCACTATGGGGTGTAATCCAAAGGCAGTGAGGTATTAGTATTGCCAGGAGAGATGCCAGCATTCCTGTGTCCAATTGCAGCACTGTTCACAATAGCCAAGGAATCAGCCCAGGTATCTGATGGATAAATTATTATACATCTATTTGTGTGTATGAATATATATATATAATATATAGGGGAATACTATTCAGCCATAAAAATGAAGTCCTGCCATTTGCAACAACATGGATGGAAATGGAAAGACATTAAGTGAAATAAGCCAGGCACAGAAGGAAAAACACCATCATGAGTTCTAATTCGGTAAAGCTGAAGAAGTCTATCCCATAAGAAAGAGAATTGAATAGCTCAATAGAGACTAGGAAGGGGGCTGGGCAGAGGGAGGCTGGATAAAGAAGGGTTACCAAAAACAGGAATTAGTCGTTTTAAGCACTTCATAGGGTAAACTATGCAGTGATTTTTATGGTACATTTTAAAATAACCACAAAAGCCCAGTGGTTCCCAACCCAAGTGATTACGGCTTGAGACAAATGTAATTGCCATGATTTGGCCATTACACATTGTATACATGTGCCAAATTATACTGCACTTGGTAAATATGTCCAAATATGTGTTAAATAAGGGTGTAGACATTTTTCAGCTGTTGTCACTGGCTGGACATCCATCCTAAGGCAGAGGGCTGACACCTGCTGGGTGAATGAGGAGATAAGGTACAACAGGTGCCTTAGGCCCCCCGAATGGCTGGTCCTCTTCTGTCCCTTCGTTCCAGGAGTTGATCCTAATGGCATGGCAGGAGACCAGAGTTTCAGCACAACTTAGAGTAGCTGGGTGCATGGGTGCCTTGTCACTGTCTGTGGTAAGTTCTGGCGAAGGGGGGACCTCCTCTCCTGTGGCACCACTGGGTAAACCAAGGTCACCTGTCTGAAAAGCAAGGATGCACCATGGAGACATCAGCAAGGCTCTCCTAGGTAGACAGGGAGTTGCAGCATCCGGGCCCTCAAAGGTCAGGCCTGCAGAAGCTCTGCAGTCATGGACACAAACCACCAATGAGTGAGGATCAGGACTCTTCTGCATGGAAGCTGGAGGGGACACGCGCCCCTGCTCAGCTCCAGCTCCAGCTCCCCACCAAGGATGCAAAGGCCCTCCCTTGGCTCCCTCCTGCACCACATCTGTGGCCCTTCGGGGTCTCAGGATCAGAGGCGTCTTTGACCCCTCGCTGAGTTCAGTGCTGCCCTGAGAGCTCTGGCAGCTTAAGTTCTGGGCCCAGTTCTTTGCTCCTCTCACCCAAGGTGGCAGCTCTCCCTGCAGAGTAATTGTTTCTTTCTGGCAGAGCAGGGACCCGGGCTGCAGAAACTGTCCAGTCACCTCCCTACCCACATTCTATCTACATAGAAACTGTGGCTCCTACCCCAGCCATCTTGTTACTGGGCCAAGATCCTTGTGTGGAAGGCAGTTGATCTAAAACTTTTTTTTTTTTTTTTGGTGGTACTGGGGCTTGAACTCAGGACTTCACACTTGCTAGGCAGGCACTCTTACTGCTTGTGCCACTCCACCAGCCCATTGATCCATAACATTTTTGCAGAATGGATGGATGGGTGGGTGATTGGGCTCTGCAGGGGAAGGCCCCTTGGTATCCAGTGTAGATGTGCTTTGGGGTCATAGGGGTGAATGACCGAATAGAAGGACATTTTACCTGGTCCAGAAGCCAGGCACCCACTGCTGATGTCCATCTCTCAGTTTCTTCCACTCGCCGTCCCTGGC